ATAGTTGTTCAGTGAGGTGGGGTCACCTCCCTTCAGCAAAGGAAGAACAAAGGCTGTTTTCCAAGTGTCTGGGATGGAGTTTTGTCTTATGGAGAGATTGAAGATGTGGGTCACAGGGACTGTGATGATATGAGCAGCCAGCCTTAAGAAATAAGGTGGAAGTTCATCTGGACCTGCAGATTTTTTAGGATCAAGATCTTTTAACAGTTTATTGACCTCACTGACTGAGAATGGAGAAAAAGAGAAGGTGTGATTAACTGAGGATTGACTTGTAGGAGGGATTTGATTTGTAGAAGTTTGGTTATTAAGTGAAGTGGCTGATTTTCCATTAGTTACTGTGTCAAATAAAGAACCAGAAGCAACAAAATGTTTGTTGAGACAGTTCAGGATCTCGTGTTTATTTGACACAGGAACAGAGTTAACGAGAAGTTGTGATGGGAGGTCAGATGATTGGGGGGTGCCTGAGAGAGATTTAATTGTTTTCCAGAATCTGTTAGGGTCATTTAGATTTTTGGAGGTCTGAGATAAGAAATAGTTGCGTTTTGCTGCTTTGACAGCAGTTGTACATTTATTCCTTATCTGTCGAAAACTCAACCAATCAGTGTCTGAGTCAGATTTTCTCGCTGCAGCCCAAAGATGATCTCTCCTGTGCAGGAGGTCAGCTAGCTCTGGAGTAAACCAGGGGCTGTCTCGTCCCTTTATTCTGAACTGATGAAAAGGAGCATGTATGTTCAGGAAATAAATGAAATTATTATGGAAATAGTTCCAAGCAGAGTTCACGTCATCAGTTAACAGAATACGATGCCAGTCAAAGTGAGACAGATCCCAGAGGAATGACTGTTCACAGAAATGTTTCAGATCCCTTTTTTTAATTAATCTGGGCTTAGAAGGTGGAAGTTTACTATTTCTTAAAGCCGCTGTCACACAGTGATCACTCAAAAGATCAGCGAATACACCTGTACCAGGGAATTTGTGAGGCATATTAGTTAGAAACAGGTCTAAGATGGAGGAATTGTCAGGATGGCTTTTATTTAATCTGGTGGGGGAGTCGATCAGTTGGGTTAAATTAAAAGACAAGCAACATTCCTTGAATTTGTCACAGAGGGGGGTCGACTTACACCAATCAATGTTGAGATCTCCTGCCAAAAAGATCTCTTTGAATTTTAAATTACCAAGGAATTCCTTCATGGCATTTAATGCTTCAGGTGAAGCTGTGGGGGGGCGGTAGCAGCAGACTACAGTTAAAACCTGGCCTCCATTCAAGGTGATGTTTACAGATAAGGCTTCAAACTGGTTTGGAATTGTTTTGAAAGTCACAAGACTTGAAACCAGAGTGTCTCTAATGTAAATAATGACTCCACCCCCCCTTTTTTGACGATCACAGCGGTAGATGTTAAACCCATTGATTGCCACGTCATTATTCATTACAGATTTGTTGAGCCAGGACTCAGAAATAAAGATAACATCTGCCCCAGAAGAACTGACCAGGATTTTCACAGCATCAAGTTTTTTCAGAAGGCTACGAGCATTTACATGCAGAAAATGAAGCCCAGAGGCGTTTTTAAAGTCATTTGGTGTGCTGTAATTAGTGGGGGGTCCAGGGTTGGGTTGAATTCCTGAGAGCAATAACAACATTATTATCAGACATTTTCTTGAGTTTTTTGTGACTGATGTGTAATTACAAGAGTTAACAGTGTGACAATTAGCCCCCATAATCGAACCATGAGAAACATTAATGAAGATGCGATCATTCAGAACCCAAAAACAGTGAAAGTTGCAGTGATGGACAGATCCAGGTGTATTAACAAGATTCAGTGACTCCAGATAATCTGAGAACTGAAAATAGTGACAGTAATATGAATGATGCAGAAAAGTTTCAGACCATAAAATGTCACAGTTCAAATGGGCAAACAAACCCGACGAGTTGGCCCAACTGCAGTTTAAGTCAGGCTGAGGGGGGCTCCGGCCCCCCTGTGAAGATGGATGGATGGATGGATGGATGCTCCCATGAGAAACAGAAGCTGGGTCCAGAATCAACAGGCCGAAACAGAAACAGAAAATTCGCAGCAAATAGCAGAGCGAGCTGCCAGAAAATCCTCCTGAAGTGAAAGGCATGATCCAAGCTTGTTTCAGGTCAACAGGGGCCAACAGCGTGATCCGGAATAAAATTAATTATTATCCAGGTGAGTTGGATGGAGGCCTGCAGCAGCTCCGATACAAACTCCGAACTTCTCTCGAGCACCACGCAGCCCTGCTCCTCCACGCTGCTCCTCCACGCTGCTCCTCCACGCTGCTCCTCCGCTTCTCAGCACCCGACAGCACGGGGCACCCCCGGTGAAAAGCGAGACTGACCGGAGAGGCTGAGGCTGAAGTCGGCAACTGGTCCGGTCCGGTTCTGCTCCAGTTCGGCTCCGGCGCTCCAAGCACAAGAGACGAAGAGGCTGAAGATATCCCTGGCCCGGTTTTGCTCCGGTCCGGCGGCACAGTCTAGCAGCGCGGTTCTGCTCCGGTCCGGCGGCCCAGTCCGGCGGCGCGGTTCTGCTCCGGTCCGGCGGCGCTTCAAAGCACCGGAGCGTCTCCTCCAGGTGAACACAACGACTCCACGGAGGTGGATCGTCTTTCAGTAAAAGTAACGGGCTGCTCACTGAAGCTGAGACCGGCTCTGTAGAAGACGAAATCCCCCACAGCCACCTCGATTCGGTTCTGGTCCAATTCGAGGGTCACAGGTACACTTCCCCCACACCTATGGAAACACCACGAGGGCCAGTCCAGCTGAAAACCAGCGAAATACCACCCGGCGATATTTGTCGGAACCAGGTAGAACCACAAAGGTCCAGATAAGAGTTCGTTGAGGTCCAGGGAGAGAGAGGATATGAAGTAATTTAGTACTTTAGTAATGTTACTTGCAGTCAGTGCATGAGTTGGTGTGTTCACACTTACAGAGGATTCAGTACGCAGTACCTTCTTCACCAGTGGTGAGAGTCAAAGATACAAGCTGTTTCCTGTGAACACATGTGGATCCTACAGCTTCTGCTGCGCCACGTGCAACTTCCAAGGAGTCAGTGTGGCTCAGAACAGATTACGTGTGCGTCCTGTTAGAGCACGCAGCTAAAACCTGCTACCGTCTAGCCGAAACACTGAATACTATTAAAGTGAAGTGTAGCCAAACACCCTCTTTTGTCATTTTGTCTTCAAATATATTCTGAATGGTCTGTGGACCATACTGTGTGGACCAGTAGACCTTGTGGGGACCAAGACCTGGATCTCATACAGTCAACCATCAGTTTTAGATTACGTGTTTCTTTAGGGCTGAAGTAAGTTTAGGTCCAGGTTAGACGTGTAGTCGTGTACTGGGGGTTAAAGGTTGCTCTACAGAAATGGATGGAAGTCAACAATTTCTACTAAAGAGGAAATATAAACTTGGGGGTGTGTGGGTGTGTGTGGAGGGGGGGGGGGTTCCTCCAGAAATAAATTGAATCCAGAAGTGACTCAGTTTTCATCCAACACTTTCCCTCAAAGGCTGATGGGAAATCTGTCAGCTGTTTAGTATGTACAGTATATATCAATTCAGTTCAATTCAGTTTATTTCTATAACACCAAGTTACAACAGAATCGTCTCAGGACACTGAACAGAAACATTCATATATAAAATAATAATTTAACATTATTTATCTGAGGAGCAGCTTTGAGTTTAACTCTCATCTTTAAGAAGATGAAGGCGACAGTGGAAAGAAAAACTCCCTCATGAGGAAATGGTAAATGGACTGTACTTGTACAGCTCCTTTCTATATTATTTCAAGATACTCAAAGCTCTTTACAACAATCTGTGTCCTCATTTACCCATTCACACAGCTCTATACTAGATCTCTACAAAGCTAATAGAACAAATAATTCTAAAGAGACTAATCAGAGCTTTAGATCACATTCAGACACTGATGGGACACACATCAGAGGCTGTGAGGGGTTCAGTGTCTTGCTCAGGGACACTTCAACATGTGACAGCTGGTGGATTTGAACCCCCAACTCTTGCATTGGAGGACGACTGCTCTAACCACTCAGCCACAGTCTTTATTAAATAAAGGTTTAAATAAAAATAAAAATACCCCAATAAACAGCTAGAACAGACCCATGTTCAGGCTGCTGTTTAATGCGCCGTATTATATTAACACATATAGTGAGAGCAGGACACGAAAAATTAAACTTCCTGAAAACAAATATAGGCTTTCTGGT